GAATTGCAGGTTCCCCAGATCTGATCGGGATGTGTGCCTGAGGCAACCAATCGATATGTATCTCTCACATCAAAGTCTCTCTTTCTCTCTCCCACCCCTTTTCACTGTCTCTAAAAATCAATGGAGCCGGAACTGGTTTGGCTCAGTGGATAGAGTGTCGGCCTGTGGACTGAAAGGTCCCAGGTTCGATTCCGATCAAGGGCATGTACCTTGGTTGCGGGCACATCCCCACTGGGGGTGTGCAAGAGGCAGCTGATCAATGATTCTCTCTCATCGATGTTTCTAACTCTCTATCCCTCTCTCTTCCTCTCTGTGAAAAATCAATAAAAAATATTAAAAAATAAATAAATAAAAATCAATGGAAAAAATACCCTCAGCTGAGGGTTAAAAAAAAAAAAAACAAAAAAACCTACACCACCACCCTTGCAATTCTGGCACTCTCACCTCCTTCCCTGCTCCATTTTTCTCCAAAATCTTTACCTCTTAAGAATCAACACAATGTCCAGGTGTCTTTGGATCATCATGGGCACCAAGTGAACCAAAAAGTACTTCAGTTGTCATCCACACTGCCAGAAACTGGGTAGCTGTGAATATATGCCCTCCCAGCCCCTGCTTACAACTACATGCTTCTGCACCTTTCAGGGACTAGAGGGAGGGAACCCCCTTGCTCTGAGTCCTCCAAGGAATGGGAATTCTGAGAACCAGCCCCTGGGCTAGACCCGAGATACTGACAAACCAGGAGGGCCCACACATCCATCTCCACCCCAGGAATATTTAAGGACCTGATGCTCACAATATACTGGGGTGGTGGGAGGAGGATGACAAGACAACAGTCAGGGAACAGCCACATCTTCAGAGATCGTACCATGGAGAAAAGAAGGCGGCTAGCCCACACGGCCCGGAGGGATGCTCCATGGGGCACAGCCACAGCTAGTTTCTCTACTACTACCCCATGTTTCCTATGATGAACACGTAATTTTATCAAGTTTAAATTGGGGGGGGGGGGGAGTAGATTTGAAGAAGTCCATTGATGGGACTGGTCTTCCATCTCACAAGCCTGTCTGCTTGCAGCCAGGGACCTGGAATGCCATAGGACTGTCCAGGCTCCCACATCACGGAATGGGGCTAAGTATGTACCACACTGGCTATGGGATGGCCACTGCACCTCAGAGATCATACCTGCCTCAGAAAGAACTTAGGAAAACAAGACCTGGAAAAGCTGGGACCTTCAGTAACTCCAAAGCCGTTGGGACAATCCCCACGCATCCCCTTCCCACCCGTCTCATGTTTCTTTGGCCTCTGTTCTCCCTTCTTCCTCTTATGCCACACCATGCTCTGATCACAATGGCCTCCATTTACAAGCTCTCTCTCACCACTAGGCCTCTGGCTAGAACACACTTTCCTGCTCCCTGTTTTGTCCAGTTTATGCTACTCACACCTCAGGTCTGCACAGGAATGCCACCTCCCCACAAATGCATATTAAGGGGCTCCTAGTACTGATAAACCATGTATTCCACAATCAGGCCATTCCTAACACGGCACTGTTTATAATCACCTCTAGTGCAACTTCCTGGTAAAATGAGCCAGGCCAAGGCCCGGAGCAGCCGGGTCGGGTGCGGCCAGGCCCGGAGCAGCAGCTGCCAGGCTGGGAGCGGCCAGGCCCGGAGCAGCCGGGTTGGGTGCGGCCAGGCCTGGAGCAGCAGCTGTCAGGCTGGGAGTGGCCAGGCCCGGAGCAGTAGCAGCCAAGTCCAGAGCAACTAGGTCGGGAGTGGCAGTGACCAGACCCGGAGCAGCTGGTTGTGGAACGAACCAGAGCAACAGAGGCCAGGCCCGGAGCAGCCAGACCCGGAACAGCTCGCTCCTCGCCTGCCCCTGCCCCACGGCTGCCTCTCAGACATGGCTGGAAACTTTCGCGGGAACTTGAGGGTCTGCTGAATCAAGTGATGAAGGCTTAGATCTGGATGTGTTGAGTTAGTATAGGGCTGGGGTGTTGAACTGTGAGTGCCTTGGGTGGGGCCTGGATGAGGCTAGTTGACCTATTGGGAAATGTCTTTTGTGTGAAGTGTATCATTGGGCATGTGGAGGTATTATTGATATGAGAAAATGCTAAGTAACTGATTTACTATCTGAAAAGGGATTTACTATCGGGGAAAGGGAGGGAAGAAGAGACTGAACATAAACTGTGCACCTATGGATGAGGACAATGGGGAATGGGGAGGGGGCGGAGGGTGGGGTGGGAACCTGGTGGAGGGAGGGGGGAAGAAATGAGGAACCTTTGTAATAATATGAACAATAAAGATTGATTTTAAAAAAAAAAAAAAAAAAGCAGGAAAAAAAAAAAAATGAGCCAGGCCAGGGACCCCACCACCTTCTTGTTGCTTAGGCAATGCCAGCCAAAGGGCTCAGGCCGAATGAACGATGGGGCAGGCACCAGACCAACAGCTCTCAACCACCTGGATGCTGATCTCCTCTAGGAGGCATGTGGAGAACTGGGGGCATTTGGAGTTATCAAGACACGGGGTGGCAGTGGGGGCAGGCTGAATGTCCCACACTGTGAGGAGCTGGCCACAGGATGCTGGGAGCTCTCAGAGCAGCACTGCGCCAGGTTGTATTTTCCTTCTTTCTGCCCGAAAGTCCTAATAGCCTCCGTCCCCCCACCCAATCCTGACAGGGAGATCTGGGCCTTCTTGTCAGATTCTGGCTGACACCCTAAGTGGCTGGGCTGGGGGAACTCTCAGGCTGTAAGGTACCCAGTGGGCCCCAAGCTAAAGTAGCATGACCCAGGATCACATTCCTGACCCCTCTGAACTCTGTTGCAATTTAGAAGCAAATGCCCCTGCCCTGGGGCGCCTGGCTACTGACCTATCCCGGTTGGGAAGGGAAAGACAGATGGGATCCAGAACCTTTATGTGGCTCAGAACAGTTGCTTCCCTGCAGGGGTGCAAGCACTGATGGTGTGGAGAAGGATGAGGATCAAGATGAGGGCTGAGTACAGCCCTGGAGCCCCTTCCTAGCAATGCTGTGTGACCTTGGGCCAGGTCCTGCCTAGCCAGAGGATATCATCTGTGTCCTAAGGTCCTTCACTTCTGAGTCTGTGGCTCTATTCTTCCCCTCCCCCGACCCCGGACACCCTGTGTGATTTATGTCTACTGTTCCAGTACGGGTTCCATCTAGAAGCCAGTCTTGTTATGGTTGACAGGTCATGCAAGGGGTAAAGGGACGCTGGCCGAGCACAGCCTCCTGAAGTAGCTCTAGGGCAAGGCCAATGAGCCAGAATTCACATGGAGAGGTACCCAGGGTGTAAGATGGGCGGACAACTGCTGGCCTGGGAATAGAGGGGACCAGAATGCTACAGGGTTAGGGCCTGTGCTCAGTGAGGCCTCTCCCTAGGAACCCAGGCATCCTTCAAGTGTTTGCTGCTGTTGTTTTTTTTTTTTTTTTTAAAGGGGGGGACTCTCAGTGAAGGGGTACACCTTGGGACAGGGGCAGGCAAGTGGGTAGGAGCAGAGGCAGGGCGGGGTCAGCCTCTTTGTTCTGAGCCACCAGTAAAATAATTCCTGGTGTAGTCAGGGGAGCAGACTCTCCCGGAGATCAGGTGACCAGGGTCCCTGGGGGCACAGAGTAAAGCAATGCACTATGGGGTGGGAGTGGCTGCAGGCCTGCAGTACAGGAAGGAAGCCCATGGTCCAGGCAGGGGCTGAGAGCCTGCCAGCTGCCCCAAGTTCAAAGTCACCTCCAGCTTCATTTCCCACCCAGCACCAGGCTTCCCCTGAGCTTCCCGGTGAAAACCCAACCTCCCCATTTAAAAGATGATTCTGGAATCTGAAAACGTCAGCTCAACCTTCAGGATTAGCTAGCCAGCCAGTTCTGAGGATCCCAAAACCTCGCAGAGAAACCAGTGATGGGTTCCAGCATCTAGAGAGATTGAGGGAGCAGAGAAAGGGGAAGTCGTCCTGAGATCCCAGCACTGCCACATCAACCCTGTGACAGGTGCTGCCGAGCCAACCTGCTCCCCACCTGGGGGCTGGTGAGAAATATCTCGTGTCAGAGAGAAAGCAGAGGGCGGCCTCAGACTCCAAGGCCAAAACCATCAGAACTCCTTCCTCTATCTCCTGCAGCGTCACCTAGAACCACAGCCCTCTGGCTCAAATTCCCAAAGCCCAAGGTCTATAAGTAAGAAGAGAAAGGCAGCTGCACCCCTACCCCTCCCCCACACCTAAGGCAGGACAGAGGGGGCAGGCTGACACAGGACTGAAGCTGAAGTCTGCATGCAAAGAGGGGCCCCCTGGCTGAGCAAGAGAGGATGCTGGGTCAGCAGGATGAAAGGGAGTGAGCCAAATAGCCAATGAAGGGACTGTGACCTCTGCCACAGTACCCAGGGACCAACTCAGGACCAGGGCCTATGCCTGGCATGTAGCAGGGGCCAAGCTAAGATGTGGGGGTTCAATGGGGGCTGTGAGTGTGTGCGTACGCACTCATGTAGGGGCTCCCATTCAGCTGGTGCTCAAATATACACTGTGTGAGTGAATTAATAAATGGAGGGGGACGGTTTGATATGTAAGAGATGATAGGTGGGGTCTCTGAGAACACTCGAAAAATCTGAGTATTAACAAGAGGCCCAGGACATTCCACTTGGAGCCCTGGAGGCCCAGGAAGCTGAGGCTGGTCAGCTTTTCCCAGCCTGAGCTCAGACAGCAGCTGAGGCTGACACCAGGCTGACAACCATCGCTAGCCCTGGCCAACACCTTGACTTTGATCTTATGAGGGACTCTGAGTCAGAACCACCCAGATAGACCGTTCCAGAGTTCTAACCCTTGGAAACTGGAACTCTCAACTTTTAAGCTGCTGGTATTTGGGAAATATCGTTAGATGGCACTAGGTTATTAATCTAAAGACCCACAAGACTTTGGCCACCCCAACTTTGCTGCTTCTCAGAAAATCTTCCATGGCCACAGGCACCAGAACTTGGAAGGCAGGGCCCCCAGAGGACATGGACTCACCGAGTTCAGTGGGCTTCAGCAATTCATCTAGCATGTTGAAGAAGGGCAGCTTCACCAGGCGCACTTCCGGCTTGAGAGTCTTGGCAGGCAACCGTCCGAGTCCATTTAAGTACTTCCCATACAGCACAGGGTAGTCAATGTTGGGGCCTGTGAGTGGAGTCCTGGGCACAGTGCTGGCCCGGTCATAGGTCGAGTGCATGGTCAAGGGGTCCAGGGGCCGGTGGGGTTGGGAGATGGGTTCTGAGCTCTTCTTGGCGTAGCGCGTTTCGTAGAGCTCCTTGATCTTCTTGAACAGCTCAGGGCTACAGTCAAACTGAACCAGCTGGAGGGCCCGGGTGACAAGTTCGTGCTTAAGTCCACTCTTACTCCGGCCGACGAAACCCAGGAGCATCTGAAGATCGGAGACTCGAAAACTCATCACCATGTTCTGGGAAGAGCAACCACAAAAACATATGCTCAGAGGGAAAGGCTGCCAGAATCAGGGGCCACCAATGGGGCACAGGGGCTTCCCTGAACTGCCTGAGCCAAGTGGGGGGGATAACAAAATGAAGCCCTTGTCAGCTGATCCCCCACTCCCTCCCTTTTCATTCTGGCTGGTGCGAGTAGGAGCCCAGGAGGCGGCCCTGGTATCAATCTCACTTGGCCTGGGCTTGATTCCACTTCCACTGAAGCTCACCTTGCACATGATGCCCCCTCCCAGCTCAGCCCTGCTGCCCTCCTCCTTTTCCTCCTCCTCCATTCCTCAGCATCGCCAACACAGTCTTCTGACTGCCCTCACGCCCGCCTTCTATTTTAGGTTCTCTTTTCACATCTTCAGGCCTAAAAGCATCCCCAGGGCAGGGACTGGGTCTTGTTTTTCCCATAAACAGCCTCAGCCACTCCCAAAACAGAGCACACTGATGGCCTTTCTGACTCTCAGTCTCTTCATTGGGGAGATGGCAGGATCCACTTCATTGGGATGTGGGAAGGACCTGATGAGGTAACTCATGCAAAGCAGAATGAATGTGCAACCAATGTCAACTAATGTTTTCCCTTTGGTCTGGATGATAGCCACAACTTAATACTAATCACCTGCCAGGAACTGAGCTGGACATTTCTTATATACTTAACTTTGACTCTTAAAACACCCCCCAGGTTGGTGTAAGCTCCATATTACAGCCAACATTCAAACCCAGGCCCCACCCTGATGCCAGGAGTTGTTTATCTCTACTACCCTGTGCCCAGTATTGACCTACAGCTGATCATTCCAGTAGGCTTTCTCCATCTGGGCAATGTAGACAAGTGAGCTGGATTGTCCTCTGTGGGGGCTACCCTGGACATTGTGGGGTGTTAAGCAGCATCCCTGCCCCCACCCACTTGATGCTAGGAGCACCTCCAAATCCCAGTCATGATAATTACAAACGTCCCCCAGACATCTTCCAATATCCCCTGGGGGCAGGATCAGCCCCGATTAAGAACCAAGCCCTAACCAGTTTGGCTCAGTGAATAGAATGCCAGCCTGTGGACCAAAGGGTCCCAGGTTCAATTCTGGTCAAGGGCCCATAATTCCATTGCAGGCTCACCTCCCCCCTGTGCCCTGGACAGGGTGCATGCAGGAGGCAACCAAAGCACCGTGTTTCTCTCACATCAATGTTTCTCTCAGTCTTTCCCTCTCTCTTCCACTCTAAAAATGGAAAAATATCTCTCAGTCTTTCCCTCTCTCTCCCACTCTAAAAATGAATGGGTAAGGATTTAAAAAAAAAAAAAAAAAAAGAACCTTGGGTCTGAGAAGGCTCTGGGAATCCAGCAGCTGGAGAGGATGTTAACTGAACTGTGGCAAAGTAATGAGATCTAGCAGGGTCCCTCCAACTAAATCAAGCCAAACCCAAGAGCTCAGCTGATTGTAATGTTTTCTTTGGGGTTAGCTGGAGGCACATTCCCTCTGTGAGACTCTGGGACAACAAGGGGAATGAGTTTCCCAATAGCTTCATAAGCAAACTGTAGCAAGAGGATGGGCCAGCAGAGTTTCAGATCGCTCATGCTGAGCCCTGAAGCTGGCCTGAACGAAATGTGGTGGGGAAAGACACTTCCAGGGGGAACGGAAAAACAACACAGTACAAGTGACAAGAGTGGATATGGAAAGCTGGTGAGCATGGAGCAGGATAGCACCCAAACAAACCAATAAATCGCTTAAACTAAACCTGAGAAAGTGTATTGTTGGAGGTGGGTGGGAACCCTGCCAGGGTTTATGTAGCAGCCTCAATGCCAGGAGACACTGATGTTTCCCGTTTCTTGGCTATTTAAGGGTGAGACATGGAGTCTGACTCAGGAGCCCTGGGTTCAAAACCAGATTCTGCGCTAGGTTCCCAGACGACCCTAGGTCTGCCATCAGGCTTCTCTGCACTTTGGGCTCCTCATTTGTCAGCACAAGAGCTAAGATTCCTTCCATCAGTACAACACCAGGCTCACGCTGACAGCAGAGGGGGCTGTCCAGTCCTGCCTGCAAACCCTCAAGGGGGAGCCTTTTTCCGCTGCAGGGTCTTCCTTCTACTCCTGCACTCTAGCCATGGAGTGTCTATCATGTGCCAATTACCTCAGGGAGTTCTCAGTCACTCATCTCACAAGGGCTTCGAACATTATATAGGTGAGAAAACTGAGGCTCCCAGAGGGAAGTGGTTAGCCCAGTGCCTCTCTGTGTGGCAATGACAGGACTGGCATTTGGACCTTCCACTCACACCCAGCTGCCTGGGGATCTGGAAGGACCTTCACTCAACAGCACACCCCCTACCTAAGTACCTAAGCAGCCTGCTGGTCCTCAGAGAGTCCAGAATGCTTTGAAACAAAGAGGCTTCACCTCTCTCAGCCTGACTTCCTACCTTGATCAGAGAAAAAAGACTCACAGATTTGTTTCTTCTGGAAGAGGTCCAAGGCCAGTGAGGGGAAAGGCGCTGCCATGTGAAAGCTGATGGCCTCCCATGGAGACATAGGCAGGTGGGCTTGGCCTTTGAATCCAACCACAACACATCTCCTGCCGCCATCCTACCCTGGAAGACTCCCTCCCCGCCCCAAGGCATACCCTCTCCCACCAGGTTAGACATCTGGAGCTCCTGCCCCAGCATCCGGGGACACACCCCTCAAGCTGTCACTCTGATTTCTAAGCAGCTGCCACCAGGGAGGAGCCTGTCCTTGACACTGGGGAGTGGGTGGGAGGGAGGGTTGGGAGGGGCGCAGCATTCAGAAGGAAGCCCCAAGGGCTTGACAGATCAGCTCCTGCTGAGGCTTCATCCTGCCCCTTAGATCTGTGTTTACAAACAGCATCAGGCCACAAGGCCACAAGGGCTTCCAGAGTTGCACTAGCTGCACAGAGAAACAGCAGCCTAGATAGAGTATCTAACTTAACCCCTCTCCAGCTTATTGAGCAGGGAGGGAAGTTAAAGCCCCTCTCACCAGGAAAAAGAAGATGGGAACAAACTGCTACAAGGTATCCCAGGGAGTTCACAGGCCGCCTCCTCCCCTTCCCAATACCGATCAGGGGCCTTGGGTTAAGTCTCAATGTCCAGTATTCCCCTGAACCAGCCTACTTTACACCTCAAAAGACAGAATCTCCAGCTCTTGAGAGGTTAGGAAAGCGCCTAAAAGGGGGGACATTTCAATTACATGGAAGGCACTTCACAATGACCACAAGAGACTGAAGGAGAAAGAAAGCTCCCTAGGATAGAGCAAGTGGTGCTGCAGTCTCAAGCCCCCCTGAATGGAGGCTAGTGTTTTAGAGAACTTGAAAAAAGGGTCCACTTAATTTAACTGGGTTGGGGAGGGAGGGGGCGCCCAGCCACCGGAGGGTCAAATAGAGTTCATTGGATCATATTTCAAGGCTCTGCATGGAATAAAAAAGCCTTCAGACCCTACCCACTGCCTGGGAGGGTGGGGGTCCAGAGTCACGCTAATGGCCCCTGGAGGAGATTAAATTTCAGGGCTCCAGGGACATCAGGCCTGCAGGCTACCACCTTGGGCTTGCAGAGTTCAGACTGCTCTACTTCTCCAGGACAAGTTTCAATTTCTCCAAACCCTAGAGAAGTGCAGAAGTGTATGAGGTGTGGGTATGGGGGAAGGGGGTAGGGTGCTCTGGGTGAAGGGAGGGTAATACCCTATAATCAAAGAACATAGAGGGCTGCATTTCAGATCCCAGGAAGTGAAGGGAGATGGAAGGAGAGGGATGAGTGAGAGGAAACATTTACAGGTCAAGCTGTTGGGGAGGGGAGACCAGGAGGGGGCAAGAGGCCGTGCTTCTGTCCAGTGAAGAACTTCCCTGGTACCATGTTCCTTAACTTCTCAGGGAAGAAGGGGAGAATCATAATCTAGTTGAGGCAAGGGTTCTGGAGCTTTGGTTCTGGAGTTTGTCCTCGGAGAGGCACCTGGGAAGGTATATCCCTTTGGGTGGAGATGCTCCCAGTTTAGTCTTAAGAGGATTCAAAGGGGTCCCAAGCTAGAAGAGGGAATGGTATCTATGGGATGTGGGATCTGGACCCCAAACTGGAATACGGGGAGAGGCACCGGGGAACTAGCCTACAAAGAGGTCTATCCTGAAACCAACAAGGACCTCCAAGGACAACATAACAGACCAGCAGAAAGAGGAGGGGGGTTCAGAAACCAGAGCTGGGTGCATAAAGGGCTCTAAAGCAGTGGCTCTGGGGCCTGTGTGGGGAGAGTGGTTCGATCTGAGCAGACTCACTGGGGAGAATATAGGGAAGCATCCAAGATTAGTGTCTGATACGGCGTGTGTGAGGTTTAGAGACCGCAGGCGCAGAGTCCAAAGCCTCCCAGATGCTGTCCTAAGGGTTTGGAAAGATGGAGGAAGAAGAGAGAGCCCGGTACCCCAAATGGAGAGAGAGTAGTTAGGAAGGCTCCATCCCAGGAGGCAGAACCAGCTCAATGAACACCGCGTCCACTTGGGGGTGAGAGGGAGGGCATCAAGAGGGGGCGGGGCTCTGGGATCCACTCGAGAGCCCAAGAGGGGCCCCAAACTCCACCCTGGGGCACAGACCCCAGGAGGACAGGCTGTGTTTGGGGGCAGTTGAGGATCCTGAGTCCTCACCCCGGAGGGTGGGAGCGGTGGCAGAAGGGTCAGGGGACCCTTCTGGGCAGGCAGTCGCCAACCGCAGCCTGCCCAGTTGGACCGGGAAGCTGAGACCCAGATGCCGGCCCTCCGTGCCCTGAGGGGCGGGGAGGCGAAGGCACTCCCCCAGGCCAAAGAGCACGGACCCCGGCTCGGGGCGAGGAGCGGACGAGCAGCCTAGCCCCTCATGCTGTCCGGTGGGGACTGTGCCTCAAGCTGGGAGGCGCGACCCGGTGCCCGAGTTTGGAGAGACGTGAACCCTAAGCGTTCAGGCTGAAGCGGGGAGAAGCCAGCCTCCAGCCCAGGGCCGATTCCCCGCGCGAAGACTAGGGTGAGGTTTGGGGGCCCCGCCCCCCGCCTCCGGCCTCCCCGCCCTCAACCGGAGCCCCAGGGCCGGGGGGCGAACGAGGGGGCCGGGCGCCGAGCCGCAGGCGGTCCGCACCGTGGGGCCCCATGCGGAAGTCGCAGACCCCGGACCGCCGCCTGGCCCTGGCTCCCTCGGCCGCCCGCCCGGGCCGGCGTCGCCGCCGCTCACTCACTTTGGCCTCCACCAGCTCCGCCGCCATCTTGGCCACCAGCGTCCCCCGCGCCGGGAGCCCCCAGCGTCGCGTCACGTGATCGTCCGCCACTCGAGGGCGGGGCCGTCGCCGCAGCCAATTAGCGCCCGCTCGCCCTTCTTTTTGCAACCCCCGCCTCCACGGCGCCCTCCGCTGCGCACTGCGCAGGCGCGGGGCCGCCGCCTGGGCCTCGGGCCAATCCGGGCGGCGGGACGTCGCCCCCTTTCGCTCCCGGCTACCACGCCCACCGTTGGCCCCGTCTGGTTCCTTAAAGGGGTACGAGCCCCGCCAGCACTGGTAGGGCCGCGTGCTGGGTCTCGTCTCGAAGGAGAGGCGAGAGCGGGGCGGCTATCGCAGTGCAGCCAGGTGTTCGACGCCCGGCGGGCGGGCGGCGTCGGGGAAGAGAAGGTTATCCTAGCGCAGCGGCCGCCGGTGAGTGCAGTGCAGCTTTGGCGGCCGCTAGCCCCGCACGTTGCACATCCGGGTCCTGGCCCGGCCAAGAGGGAGCGGGTTCTGCACCCTCTGGCTGGCCCCGGGTGGAGACATGCGGGACCAACTCCCCAGTTGACGGGATCGCCTGCATCCCTTAACCCTCCCAGTTCCGCCTCTCCACCCACAGTAATCCTGTGGAATCTGCAGTACGGGGAACCTAGCCCTGTCCTAGAGTTCTCTGTGGCTCCCCACTGCCCACAGGCAGCGGAGTTCAAACTTCCTACCTGTTCCAGGTGATTCGTTTTTCTCTGAGAAAGAGAAGCAGAGACTATTTAAAGGTGTAGAAATTGGCCGGGTTGACTGTCTTTTTGGGGAAAGGATATCACCCTTTAACCCACCAATTCCACTTCCAAAGGAAATAACAATCACGATGATGTTAACAATACTACCTAATTAAGTGTCAAGCCCTGTTTTAAAGCATTTTACATGTCATTTCACCTTCACACCCGCCAATCCCAATAATAGGTACTATTATTGGTTGTAATTTACATATGAGAAAACTGAGGTCTGGAGTGGTTAATTGACTTACCAAGGTCACCTTGAACAGGTGCATAAAAGGGTATGCACCTGTCCAGCCAGTGGTTGAGTATCAATCAACCTATGAATCAGGAGATCACAGTTTGATTCCTGGTCAGGGCATATGCCCTGATTGAGGAGCTTGATCCTTAGTAGGGGGCGTGCAGAAGGCAGCCAATCAATGATTCTCTCTCATAATTGATGTTTCTATCTCTCCCTCTCCTGTCCTCTCTGAAATCAATAATAGATAGATAAATAGATAGATATGGATAGATACAGATAGATATGCACCTGAATATGTAAACCCAGGGAACAACTGAAATTGCAGTTCAGATCAGAAGGCCATCTGCTGGCAGAATTCCTTCTTGCTATAAGAGGTCAGTTTTTTGTTCTATTGAGCCCCTTTAAAATATATATATATATATATTTATTAATTTTTTACAGAGAAAGGGAGAGAGATTGAGAATTAGAAACACTGATGAGAGAGAAACATCCATCAGCTGCCTCCTGCACACTTCCTACTGGGTATGTGCCTACAATCAAGGTACATGCCCTTGACCAGGATCCTTGAGTCCACAGGCCAATGCTCTATCCACTGAGCCAAAACCGGTTAGGGGTCTATCAAGCCCTTTAACTGATTATATGAGGCCCACCCATTTTAGGTAGGGCAATCATCTATTTTACGTTACAGTCCACCAAATTAAATATCAGCATCATCCAAAAACACCTTCCTTGACACATTCAGTATAATATTTTAAAAAATATATTTTATTGATTTTTCACAGAGAGGAAGGGAGAGAGATAGAGAGCTAGAAATGTCAATGAAAGAGAAACATCGACCAGCTGCCTCTTGCACACCCCCTACTGGGAATGTGCCGGCAACCAATGTACATGCCCTTGACCGGAATCGAACCTGGGACCTTTCAGTCCGCAGACCGACACTCTACCACTGAGCCAAACCGGTTTCGGCCAGTATAATTTTTTTAATGCTCACCCGATGATATGTTTTCATTGAAAATAGAGGAAGAGAGGAGAGAGAAATATCAATGTGAGAGAGTAACATTGATTGGTTGCCTCTCCTACACAGCCTGACCGGTGATTGAACTCACAACCTAGGTACGTGCCCTGACCAGAATCGAATCTGAAACCTTTTGGTGTACTGGATGTAGCTCCAACCACTTAGCCACCCATCCTGGGCCAGTATAATGTTTGACCAAATATCTGGGCACCGTGGCTCAGCCAGGTAGAAGCATAAATTTAACCATCACATGGGGTAAGATAGATTTGTGTGACCCAGGCAAGTGATGATGGGGCCCTAGGTCAGGGGGAGGAGCAGAGGGCAGAGTGGGCGGAAAGAAAAGGATGGAGTCAAGAGGTTTGTTTTTAAGTGTACAATCAGGTAAAGAGTGTTGGTATTACCACATGCTATTTTTAAAACATTTCTATCACCCCCAAAAGAAATGCCATCTCTCTTAGCCATAACTCTCTCAACACCTCCCCACGAATCCACTCTCTGTTTCTGTGGATTTGCCTCTTCTGCACATTTCCTATAAATGGAATCTTGCAACATGTGTCCTATTTCCTGCAATCCTAACATGAATGAGAAATCTACCCTCAAAGCCCCCAGCCTCCTCTCAGCTCTGGACTCCATGCCCACTACCTACCTTTGCCCTTGCATGTGGGATCTCATTGTTTCTCACACACACAGCAGGCCCATGCTGAGCTTCCCATCTTCCCCACTGAACCTGCTACCTGCTCTTTTCACGTTCTCAGCAAATGGAGCTCTGTCCTTCGATTTCATTGGGCCAAAATCTTGAAGTCAGTCTGGACTCTCATTCTTCATACAACACGTCAGCCAAAACTACCTGTCCCATTGCCCAAATCTATTGTAAATCAGCCCACTTCTGACCCTCTCCCTCAGGGCCACTTAGATCCAGCTCCCATCCTCTCCAGACTGGACCAGCACAGTCCCCTCTGCCTTTGCCCCAACCAACTATCAATAAATGGCCAATAGAGGGCGTCCGTGAGCACATGAGTCAGGTCCCATCCCTTCTCTAACCAGAGCAAGGGCTCCCACCTCCCTGGGGTCCAGAGGCCCACAAGTGCTCACTTACTCTCCCCCAGCCACAGGGGCTTCCTTCCTGTTCCTCTAATACTCCGGGATGGACACTGAAGGCAGGATCATTCTGAGTGGCCGGGGTAAGGTGGCGGGCACCATGGACTGCATCCTTGGTCTCCACAAACTCCATGCCTGGAGTACCCCCATTGTGACAACCACAGATTTCCCCAGATATCACCTCATGTCTCCTGGTGCTAGGATCATTCCCAGGTGTAATCCACTGATTTAGGACAAGGTTTACAGCAGGATGTATCAGGTGTTTTTTTTTTAATTGGGATCTCTACTCATAAGTTCCCCTATGCACGGGGGGGGGGGGGGGGGGGGGGGGGGGGAGTGATAGATCCTCCCTTCCTCCAGTTGATGGACTGACATAAACCCCACCTGCAGCCAGACATTCCTGAGCACTGAACCACCAATCAGCACCTGCCAAATACCCTAAGACCCTCCCCCTCCCCTATTCCTAAATCCCTAGGTCCCGAGTTTGATTCTGGTCAAGGGCAGGTACCTTGGTTGCAGGCTCCTCCCGGGCCGGGGTCCTCCTGGGGGCTCCTGCAGGAGGCAACCAAATAAAACAAAAAAGTAAAATTTAAAAATAAATAAAAAGTAAAATTCAACTGAGTAAATTTGAAGATTTACTTGGCTCTATGAAGTGATTCCTTAATAAGGTAGCATCCCATTTAGCAAGTAAAAGTACAAATAGGTTCTATAGGAAGAAGGGTGGAGCAAAGGATATTGACAAAAGAAAAGGGAGGATTGTTTTGGGGCTGGGACATCTTTTCTTTAGGGAAGAAAAGGGGAAGCATTTTTACCATGCAGATATCGCCTTATTTTTCTTATGGGCGATGGAGAGGGCTAGACTGCCAGAAGAGTTCACACTGGTTGATTAAGATTACATTTCTGCCGAAACCGGTTTGGCTCAGTGGATAGAGCGTCGGCCTGTGGACTGAGAGGTCCCGGGTTCGATTCCAGGCAAAGGCATGTACCTTGGTTGCGGGCACATCTCTGGTAGGGGGTGTGCAGGAGGCAGATGATCGATGTTTCTGGCGCTCTCTCTCCCTTTCTCTCTGTAAAAAATCAATAAAATATATATTTTTTAAAAAGATTACATTTCCCGGAGAAACTGAAACTCTACTAGATCAGTTTGGCGTCACGGGCCGTTATTTATTTACTAGTGCTCTGAATTCGTGCACATTGAAAGGAAATTAATTAGAAGGTGGCTGGAGGGCAGGACTTGGTGAGAAGGGCCAGACATGCCCTGGAGCCAACCTCCCACGGTCCCTCCTGGCTAGCCACACCTGGGGCAGCACCCTCCTCCGGGGGGAGTTAATAAGGGGGGGTCCCCGGATTGTGAGAGGTGACGCACCCCTGAATTGGGCCCCCTCCTCTCTGGTTCTGGGGTGCATCACCCAAGAACCACTACTGTCAAGTCACTGCAGCTCAGCAGCTCCCGTGTTGTGGTCTGCCCCCTGGTGGTCAGTGCGCATCATAGCTACCGATCAGATAGTAAGAGATCATTTATTGGGTACATTACAGAGGTAGAAAAAGTAATTCCTAGAAGAAATGGGCTTAGGAAACAAGTTTTTTTTTTTTAATGTTTTAGTTTATTTTTTTACTTTTTTTTATTAAATTATCTGTGTACATATTTTAACATTGCCCCCCCCCCCATACATACCCTCCCTCCCCAGAATTTTGGGTCCATTGGTTGTACTTATATGCATGTATACAAGTCCTTCGGTTGATCAATTATCTCCCCCAGATCTCCCTACCCTCCCCGCTGTAATTGACAGTCTGCTTGTTGCTTTAAGGAAACAAGTTATAGCCGAGACTGGTTTGGCTCAATGGATAGAGCGTCGGCTTGGGGACTGAAAGGTTCCCGGGTTCG